AGTGGAAAGCCCTTTTGTAAGTGTTGATTGGCACTTGCCTTTCAACCTGTATTTATCAGGTATGCCTGATTCAGGTCTAATGCTTACACAGGTGGAAATACCTCTAACTAGCCGGCTCTCCCACATTTGCCTTTGGGCTGATATCCCAACCCCACGGGCCTTGGCAGAAATCACACTGCAACCCGAAGGTTCTGTGTTTGATTCCAGCTGTGAAAGTTCAGGATGAGCTGGAGAGTGTAAGCCTCATCTGAAGTACAGGAGAAATCTACTGGCACAGAATAAAAGCTATACTATTTATTAAGGTTATGCAAATAGCTGTTGTGCTTAGATCTCCGAGCATGGCTTTTTCTTCTTTTTAATGAGGACAATTTCTTCGTGCAATTGCCAAACTAAGGCAAAAGAAAAATTTCTCAGACTTTATGATGCTCTCATCAGATAACCAATATAAAATATCTTCCAGAATACTCTGTCTCCTCAGACCTTAGAGTTTGTTCTCGGGAAGTTAGAGAGAAATGAAGATGGCCTTAATAAATCTAGCTAACATTATAAATACAATACAGTGTTTCTGGTTATTTTTCCCCTTGGGGCAATAGGCCAGATATCACCAACAATTCATATATTCTGGCCTTTCTCAAAAATGTCACTGCAGCAAGAATATTACAGCTTAGCAAATTGTTGGAGAAATTCAGATGCTTCTTAGTAGTTTTGCCATAAATAAAAATCAGCTGCCTTCTGGAAATACCTATATGACACCTTCCATCAGTTGTTGAATTTGGACTAAAAAGAATCCCTTGAAGAGGGAAATGGTTTCCTACTAAAAGTGAAATCCCAGGAGCTCCAGGTGGCTCATTTGGTAGGGCATGTGACTCTTGATCTTGAGGTTGTGAGTTCAAGCCCCATGTTTGACATAGTGTCTACTTGATTGAAAATTTTTTAATAAATAAATAAAAGTAAAACTCCAAGGAGAGCATTAAAATGTGACTTTTGGCAGCCATCAACAAACAAACATGAAGAGTCATGTTTCAGCAGGGAGTGATGGGCAGGGGCATAGGAAGAGTTGTTTGTTTTATTTAGAGGTTTGTTGTTGTGGGTTCAGAGGTGTTTGTTTGTTTGTTTCTCCTCTAAAGCCCTTACACCCTTATACTGGTTTGCTAGCACTTGCCAGAACAAAGTACCACAGATTGGATGGCTTAAACAGAAATGTACTTTCTCCCAGTTCTGGAGGCTGGAAGTCTAAAATCAAGATGGCGGCAGGGTTGGTTTCTTCTGAAGCTTCTCTCCTCAGCTTACAGAGGGCTGGCTTCTCCCTGTGTCTTCACATGATCTTCCCTTATACCTGTCTGTGTCCTATTGCAATAGTGTCCACCCTAGGGACCTCATTTTAACTTAATTACCTCACCTCCAAATACAAACTTTCTGAGGTACCAGGGTTTAGGATTTCAACACCTAAATTTGTGAAGGACACAGTTCAGCCCACAACAACCCTGAGTCACGGTCTCCCTGGCAAATCTATAAGATGTTTCCTTTGGAATGGTACGAAGGGAAAGCGAGAGAGTGGAAAAGTATTCTTGAATTTTCCACAAGACCTGACTCGCTTTTTTTTTTTTAAAAGATTTTATTTATTTATTCATGAGAGAACAGTGAGAGAGGCAGAGGCATAGGCAGAGGGAGAAGCAGGCTCCCTGCAGGGAGCCCCATGCGGGACTCAGATCCCAGGACTCTGCGATCACACCCTGAGCCAAAGGCAGGTACTCAACCCCTGAGCCACCCAGGCTTCCCAACTTGACCAGCTTCTGCAGCACCATTTTTGTTTTTCTCTTCCTCCAATATAGAATTAAAAGGTGCACTAAGAACTTTTTTGAGAACACTTTGCTGTCTTCACCTATAGTTCTTTTTGTTTCTCCTAGACAAAAACATACCTCCATTCATTGGCATATCCCACCTAGGAAATCTCTCTCCCTGTGTTTGCATAAGTGATAAGAAGGAGCTGGTCAGTGAATCTGATCAATCAGAGGCTTCGCTGGCAGATTGAGATCACCTCCCTTTTACCGAGCGCCCTGCTGTACCTGACTGTACCAAGTGCAGACCTGTCCTCTCATTTATTCCTACCAGCCCTCTGAGGTAGGGACCGTTATCAACAGTATTTTGCAGATGAGATCATGGAATCATAGGCATGTTTGTGTGGGAGGGCCTGGGGTTTAGTACAAGGACTTGAACCCAGGTAGTCTCATTCCAGATCTGAGCCCTTAATCTCTTCACAGTACCTTTCCCTAGTCTAGCCAGCAAAGAGGAAACCTGTGGTTGGGGGTGGGGGGCGCAGCTAACCATATTTTCCTGAACACCCAATGCAGAGAATTGTCTCTGGGCTTCCTAGAAGACCTGGATTCTAGCTCCAGCTCAGCTAATGCTCGCTAGCTGATCTTGTCTCCTAGCTGTGTGAGATGGAAGAATTGGATTCAAGCCATGCTTCTCAGACTTCTAGACTGAGATTCATAATGAGAAATACATTGTACTGTGTATCAGTACACGCATGCACACATGCACTCATGCATACACACACACCAGTACACACATGCACACATGCACATGGATGCACAGACACACAAACACACCAGTACACACACATGCATGCGTGGGCTTTGTAACTGAACAAGTGTTCACAAAGCACACACCTACATGAAATACATGTGAATGCTCTCTGATACTTTCTCTTCTTCTCTCTCAGTTACTTTTTTTTTTCTCTCAGTTACTTTTGAAAACACTGATTGGGGCAGCCCAGGTGGCTCAGCGGTTTGGCGCTGCCTTCAGTCCAGGGCCTGACCCTGGAGACCTGGGATCGAGTCCCATGTCAGGCTCCCTGCATGGAACCTGCTTCTCCCTCTGCATGTGTCTCTGCCTCTGTGTGTGTGTGTGTGTCTCTCATGAATAAATAAATACAATCTTAAAAAGAAAAAAAAAGGAAGAAAACGCTGATTGTGACCTGCTCAAATGGGTCTGTCAAAAGCTGGCCTAAAAAAAATATTAAAAAGCTGGCCTAGATGACCCAGTTTGGACTCATATAATCCTAAAATCCTGTTAGCCAAGGTGGATGCTTCTTTGAAGCCTCTCTTATCTTAAATGCACAGACATTTATTTGAAGCAAATGAGTATTACATATAACAGAGGACAGCCCTTTACCTCCACTCTGAGCTGACTACATGATAGTAGTAATAATCACATCCATTTATTGTGTACCTCCCATGTGCCAGAGACCTAAAATGCTGCATCTCCTGTAGTTATGGGCTATAGGTATTAGTATCTCTGACTTACAGATGAGGAGACCAAGGCTCAGATTAAGTAATTTGCTTAAGGTCACATAGGTAGTATATGGCACAGCTGAGATTTGAATCGATGTCATTCTAATTACAAAGCCATTACATGCATTTCCTGTAAGGTAAGGGGCATAAAGGGGTCAGGAAGGAGAAGTGAGGTCTGGAAACTGCTGTAGCCAGATGCAATTGCTTCCCTAATGGGTCTGCTGTCCTTTAGGGTGCTAAGCCCCCACCATAGCAGTAATTAAAATCTGCACCTGGGGAGCATTTGCCACCCCACCCACCCACCCCAGGCCACCTCCAGACCAGTTAAATCAGTCTCCTGGGGTGGGACCCCAGGCCTCTGTTTTTCAAATCTCCCAGGTAATTTCTCTGTGTGGCCAAGGTTTAGAACCCTTGTTCCAAAATCTCAGTAAAATAAATTAAGATACTTTAAGGGCTTTTCCATTTTTCTTCCTGCAAACGAGAGATTTAGTAAAATATTGCCAAAACATCTTCAACTACTTTTATCAAGCTAAAGTACAAACTGTTTCTAGTTCTTTGGAGCACATTAAAAAAAAAAAAAAGATAATCTTGTATCTACTTTAAAACCAAAGAAAATAGAGAATGCTAAAGGGATGGATGGCAAGGTGTTCCAGGCACCTGACTATGATACTTTGTTTCTTGGCTCACATAATTTTAAAAATCATTTTTTATACAACTAGATAAGTCAGTTGTTGCATTAATCAGAAGTAAGAGTAACCAAGGAATCATTGGCCAAGGTCACAGGGCTCAATGTAGAGAGCCAAAGCGGACTAGGGTAACTGTAGATATTAGAAGGCATCACAGTTTCTTAATGGAAGGAGGCCTGTGTGGCTCAGCGGTTGAGAGTCTGCCTTTGGCTCAGGGCCTAATCCTAGGGTCCTGGGATTGAGTCCCACATTGGCCTCCCCACAGGAAGCCTGCCTCTCCCACTGCCTATGTCTCTGCCTCTCTCTCTCTCTCTCTCTCTCTTTCTCTCTCTCTCTCATGTGTCTCTCATAAATAAATAAATAAAATCTTAAAAATAAAAAATAAAAAAAAAAGAGGCTCGGCTCCATGGAAGGTTTCCATGTTTTCACATGGATTATGGGAACTGTAGTGGAACCGAGGACCTTCCCTCCCATCAGCTCCTATAGGAACAAGAAGATGCCTTTTTACTAACTTCTCACCCACCCCAATCTTAGACCTGTGCTGTTCCAACCTGCAATCTCTGCGGTCCATTTGGAAATATAGCTGACCACACTCAGTGTCACAGTGGTCTCCGCAGGACTCTGCTGTCTCATACTGCTGGGTTTCTTCCGTGTCTCTGGAGGACAGGTTTAATAATGTTAAAAATATGTACAGGGGCACCTGGGTGGCCCAGTGGTTGAGCATCTGCCTTTGGCTCAGGTCATGATCCCCGGGTCCTGGGATCAAGGCTCCCTGGGAGCCTGCTTCTCCCTCTGCCTATATCTTTGCCTCTCTCTGTGTCTCTCCTGAACAAATAAAACATTTTTAAAAAGATATGCACAATGTTCATACTTCGGAGAATGAAAGTACAGTATCCCCTCAACAACAAAGGTCCCTTCTTTTCCGAGAGCCCCTGACAGATGACGAGCCCTGAGCACCCCCTGGGAGGCCCGGGCTTCTGTTCTGCCCTCAGTAACCCCACTCTGTGTTTGCTTGCAGAATGATGTGGCTGCGCTCCTGAAACCAATATCAGAAAAGATTCAGGAAATCCAGACTTTCCGAGAGAGAAACCGGGGCAGTAAAATGTTCAATCATCTGTCGGCCGTCAGCGAAAGCATCCCTGCCCTCGGGTGGATAGCTGTGGTGAGTCCTGTCCGTACGGAATGGCACCCCAGCTCCTTGTCACTTTTTTGGAGTGTTTAGGGGAACCTGGAGCTCCTTCCCCCTCAGAGCTCCTTCCCCTGTCTGTTACACTACAGGGAATTCCTCTCAGGGTGATCGCCTCAGGTCTTTCATACTCTGTTCCCAGTTCGTGCTTTGTGTTCTGAGCTATGGAAACGTCTCACCCACCTTTACCGAGCAAAATGTTTGCCTCCAACCTTCATTTAATATTTCCATGGCTTTTCTTCATCCTTAAGGCATTTTCTTTCTTATCCTCTTTTTTTACCTTCTATGCTTGGGTGACGGTCCTGTCCTGTCAGTCCCCCAAACCTGGTCCTTATGTCAAGGAGATGAATGATGCTGCCACCTTTTACACCAACAGGGTCTTAAAGGACTACAAACACAGGTACGTACCTTCTTTATCAACCAAATTTTCAATTCCTTGCTTGTTAGACATTTGTCCCAAAGCTTTAACATGGGTTCCTCCTGATTCCTACTAGTATACGGTGTGAGGGAAATACCCCATCTTTGCAGCTAAAGCAAAGTGAAAAGTGAGCTAAGTTATCCAGATAATGTATGTGCTTTAGAAAATCTGCCTCAGTTTCTCTTGTGATGATAAACTCTCCACTTGAATCTGTGTCGCTCCATACATGTTCCCAAAATGGGATGGTTTTGGGATGGTTCGTGATGGACTCGCCCTATAGGGCCACAGCTCTTTACATTGCCCAAAACAGAGTTGGTGGGTGAGCAGAGAGAAGAAAGGAGAAATCAGGAAGTGAAGTGTAAATGAGGAACAGAATTATATGTGACAATTAACCAGGTCACGAAGCGGGAAACCAGTGAGTGTGTTAAGATGAAATACAATTGGGGTGGATAGAGAGACATCTATAAAAAGTTGATAAAAATCAACTCAGTGCGGATGAGTTCAAACCAAGAGCTTTTGCTGGAGAACCAGCTTAAAAAGACATCACATTCTACACCACAAATAATAGATCCTAGAGACACTTAAACTGGTGTTGGAATTGAAAATGAGAACGAGGGATGTCGTGGGATTTCTTCACCTGTGATAGAGTCATAGCTGACCCTGTAAACAGCAGGCTAATTGTCATGTGGCTGATGGACAGTCACTCATTAAAGGAATGAGGCAAAAATAAAAGCAACAAAGTTCCATCCCTTGGGCACTGGGCTCAAGAGTGGGTCCTCTTCCGAGCCCTGGGTCGGCAGAAGTGGAAGTGCTCATCAGCCAACAAATACAGGGACTCTTGCATCTCACTCGCTGGCCCAGACTGTTCTGTTGGAAGGAATCTTGAGGACCAGGTCACTGGCAAATATTACATATTCAAAATTTGCATAATTATTTCCCTTATATTTTTCTCATATTTCGCAGGTTATTTTTAGTTTTAATAAACATTGAGTAGATATGAAAGTATCTATAAAATATATGGAAGTTATATTTATAATGCAAAAACATTCATATGTCTGCCACTCAGTTTAAGAAACATGGACTGATGGGATCCCTGGGTGGCGCAGCGGTTTGGCGCCTGCCTTTGGCCCAGGGCGCGATCCTGGAGACCCGGGATCGAATCCCACATCAGGCTCCCGGTGCATGGAGCCTGCTTCTCCCTCTGCCTGTGTCTCTGCCTCTCTCTCTCTCTCTGTGACTATCATAAATAAAAAAAAAAAAGAAACATGGACTGATAATTTTTACTGCAAAAAACCAGGCAGACTTGGCAATTCTACTTCTAGGTATATTTCCAAAAGAAATGAAATATGTTCACACAAAAACTTGTACACAAGTGTTCATAGCAGCATTATTTACAATAGCCCAAAAGTGGAAACAATCCAAATGTTCATCAACTGCAATAGATAGGTAAAATGTATAGCCATAAAATGGTATGTTATTCTGCCATTAAGAAAATGAAGTATCGATACAAGAGCAACATGAATGAACCTTGAAAACATCCTAAGTGAAAGAAGTCAAGTACAAAAAACCCTCCATATATTGTATGATTCCATTTATATGAAATTCCAGAATAGGCAAATCCATAGAGATAGAAAGTAGATTAACAATTGTCCAGGGCTGGGGAAGTTTGGGGAAAATGTGGAGTTACTGCTAATGGATATGAGATTTCTTTTTTGGGGGGTGATATAATGTTATAGAATTGATTGTGGTGATGGTTGCATGACTCTGTTGACCTAAATTACTGGATTATACACTTCAAATGGATCCCACTGTGTGGGATGTGAATTATGTGTCAATAAAGCCATTATATTAAAACAAAACAAAAAAAAAAACCAGCCACGGTGCTACACTCCCCTCATAGAGTTCAGTCATGCTGTGTTCAGGAAACAGGTGTTTGGTTCACCAGTTGTGCCCAGTGCTACAACTCCATGTTGCGTTAAGGACTGGGTGTTTCCCGTTTGTATGAAACCTTCTTACAACAGCACCCGCCTTACCACTCTAAAATTCTCCAATTTCATGACTTTCTTGGCCAAATAATTCAATCAAATTATTATGAAACCAGCCAAAGGATTTTTTTTTTCAATACCAGTCTCCTTTCTGAAAACACATTGTTTTTCATTTTGCATCAGAAACCGTGCAGAAAGAAATGGTCTCCCTCCACATTCATCACCTTGTTAGAGATCACATAAGGATGCATGGCCTGATTTGCTGGGTCTCCTCCCCATGGTCCTCTCTGCCCCATGCTGGAGCTCAGAGAGGGCACTTGGCTCCTCTTAGGAGACACCTGGGCCACTAGCCTATCAGAGTCCTTTTCAGAACTGGTTCATGGTGACTGAACTGGAAAGACAATTGGTCCAGGGTCATCCAAAGCCTTAGTTACTGGATTATCATGTTCCCACCAATCTTTTTTAAATTTTATTTTAGATCCTAATTCTACTCTCTTCCACCCTCTTTTATAACAAAGCGATTTACGCCATGTGGATTGGGTGAAGTCATATTTGAACATTTGGAGTGAGCTGCAAGCATACATCAAGGAACACCACACCACAGGCCTTACTTGGAGCAAAACAGTAAGTATCAAGCCCTCTGCCACCCTGGTAAAGAAAGGCCATAAAAATATTCATTCCCAGTAGCCTAGGAACTTCAGACTTTAAAATTTACCTCAAGGAAAGCATAAGATAAAATAGATATGTAGAAACTGTTTATGCAAGTGTCATTTGTCATGAAACAATCTGGAGATTGCCTATAGGACATGCAGAAAGAAAATGGTTGAGTTGTCCATGGTAAGAAGCCAACAAAACATTCTTTGGCTATTAAAAGTAACATATCTGAGGGACACCTGGCTGGCTCAGTTGGTAGAGCATATGACTCTTGATCTTGGAGTCATGAATTCAAGCTCCATGATAGATGTAGAGATTACTTAAAAATAGATTTTTCAAATACTTTTGAATAGTTGGGCAATCCTACTGATTTGAGTGAGCACTAAGATGATATATAATACATATAATACTGTGTGATAAAAATTAAAGGAAACAGGAAAGTTTGAAAATAGTTACAAGGAAATAGAATTATTAATAAAATGTTTCAATGTTTTATTTTATTTTTTTAAGATTTTATTTATTTATTCATGAGAGACACACAGAGAAAGAGAGGCAGAGACACAGGCAGAGGGAGAAGTAGGCTCCATGCAGGGAGTCTGATGTGGGACTCAATCCGGGATCTCCAGGATCACACCCTGGCACTAAACCGCTGGCACTAAACCGCTGAGCCACCCGGGCTGCCCCTGTTTCAATGTTTTAAATTTCTCTTTTGGTGTTCAAGATTTTTCAAATACTTTTGAATAGTTGGGCAATCCTACTGATTTGAGTGGTATCTTAATCATAGGATAAAATCCCAGCCTTTGAGATGTTGACCATGACCTTTACCCTGCCCTCTTCTTCCAGCCTGGTCCATCCTCTCATCCTACCTCTCACTGCTTCCCAGCGCTGCCAGACTAGTTGTGTGATCCTGAACACATGCAATGCTTAGGTCAAACTAAATCAAATTGTTGTTTCAAAGTGTGTAGATCTCAGATGCCTTTGCACTTTCTGCATGTCCCAAACATGCATTATGCTGTATGCCCTGCCCTGGAATGGATGTTTGTCCTGTATACTTCCTTCATGTCTTGAGTATAGCTCAGGCTTAGCCCTCCACTCATATGATTGGCGTTTGTACGTGTGTGTTTTGGAGGCTCTCCCTCCAAAACTAGAACCTCGTCTCTGTCTCCAGCGCCTAACACAGTACCTGGCATGGAGCAAGTACTCAATCAATGGTTTTAACCAAATTGTGAGGTAGGTTAAGTCTCTGCACTTCTTATAGAAGACTTCCCATGGAAACTTCCTTTGGTTAGAAATGAATGCTACCTTTAAATGGTCAAAGTGAAAAAAAAATAAAAATAAATGGTCAAAGTGGATGGTTTAACCAGATTGAATATTGAGAAAATGAAGTGGTATATTTATGAATTCCGTTCAGGGGTAGAATCATCATTCCCCTGGTGCCCGTACTCAAGCGCCTAACCCTCATCCAGAATGTTGATGTCGGTGAGGTCGGCTTAGTACCAACGCTGAGTTTGTGACTTTTCAAGAGAGTGTAGGACTTTGCTTCCCAACACTTCTGGAAACATTAACATTGACCCCTAAAGACTGATACTGCCTCTTATTTTCTACTTTGCCTGTGTTCTCGGTAAGCAGAAATGCACAGTTGCGAAGTACAACTAAGTTAATTATTTTTCTTCTGCCTGCAATATTATGATTTTTGAATATAGTTTATAAACACTTGAAATGTTTTAATAAGGAAAGATGTGTAAGGATGTGGGTGGGTGTTTGGGTAGATGGATTAGAATTATTTTCTGTACACTTCTAATGAGCTAATGTCTTGTTATAGATCAGTTTGTCACAAAGGGGAATGGTCACATGTTTGCCACAGAGGTAGGTCATCACTAGAGAGTAGTCAACTAAACACCAAGAGTCCTTGAAGTCTTATTATAAATTCATGGTAGATAGGTGGAAAAGGAAAGAGAACCTGTTTGTGGGAAATAATCCTGTTAACAAAAGCTAGCCCATTAATTTTCTAATGATGCCCGAGGAAAAGTGGGTGTTTAAATGGCTTCAGTACCTTTTACCACAATATACAAAGCTGAATAATGGTGTTCTGAATATATAAGATAAGAATAAAACATTAGGGGTGCCTGGGTGGCTCAATCAGTTGTGCATTTGCCTCTTGATTTTGGTTCAGGTCATGATCTCATGGTTGCAAGATCAAGCCCCATTTTGGCTCCGTGCTGGACAGGGAGTCTGCTTAAGATTCTCTCTCTTCCTTTCCCTCTGCCTTTCTCCCCTAAGAAAAAGAATCAGGGGATCCCTGGGTGGCGCAGCGGTTTGGCGCCTGCCTTTGGCCCAGGGCGCGATCCTGGAGACCCGGGATCGAATCCCACATCGGGCTCCCGGTGCATGGAGCCTGCTTCTTCCTCTGCCTGTGTCTCTGCCTCTCTCTCTCTCTCTCTCTGTGACTATCATAAATAAATAAAAATTAAAAAAAAAAAAGAAAGAAAAAGAATCAGGCAGTTTGGCGCCTGCCTTCAGCCCAGGGTGTGATCCTGGAGTCTCGGGATCAAGTCCCACATCAGGCTCCCTGCCGGGAGCCTGCTTCTCCCTCTGCCTATGTCTCTGCCTCTGTGTGTGTGCGTGTGTGTCTGTCTGTCTCTCATGAATAAATAAAATCTTCAAAAAAAAAGAATCAAATATTTTTTTAAAGATTTATTTATTCATTCATTCAGAGAGAGCGAAGAGAGAGGCAGAGACACAGGCGGAGGGAGAAGCAGGCTCCATGCAGGTAGCCCGACGTGGGACTCGATCCCGGGTCTCCAGGATCACACCCCAGGCTGCAGGCAGGCTAAACCGCCGCGCCACCGGGGCTGCCCAAATCAAATATTAATTATAGAAAAATAAACATAGTTTTTTTTACTTTATTCTAGAGTGAATACTTAAGTTTTCATTATGTTCATTAGAAATACCAGCCTTATAACAATGGCTTTCAAACTTTCAAAGGCAACTAATGGTAAGAAGTACAGTTCACACATGCACACACACACACACACACACACCACACACACACCTCCATAATATTAAAACAAGTTTCACAGAACATTTCTCCTACCACATGAAATGCATTCAGATATTTTTTCTGATTTCGTTTTTTATAAAATTTTTAATAAACTTTTTGATAAAATTCTGGCTGAGACCCACTAAATTGATTTCATGACCCAACACATGGTACATTTTTAAAAACATGTTATAAAACATAAATGTTATGTTTATACAAATGTGTATATATTTTATATAAAATATAATCCTTGTAGCAGGCATCGGGCAGCTTGGATTGCCATAATAATAATGGCAGCTATTATGTACTGAGCACATATTATGCTATGGGAGAATTTGATTTAAAATGGTAATTGTAGAGGTGCCTGGATGCCTTAGTCAGTTAAGCATCTAATCTTGATTTCGGCTCAGGTCATGATCTCAGGGTCATGAGATCCAGCCCCATGTCAGGCTCTGAGCTGGGTGAGAAGCCTGCTTAAGATGCTCCCTCTCCCTCTCCCTCTGCCCCTCCCCACTGTCTGCTCCTGTGTGTGTGCATGTGTGCTCTCTCTTTCTTTCTCTTAAAAAAAATGGTAATTATTGTAAAGCAAAATACCTGCTTTGCTTCTTTAAGGGTAAAGTTTTGGCCAGATATTAGAAGTGAGGAAGGATTATGGTCAGAAAGTGTTGGTTCAGATAGCATCCTATGTGCAAAACCTTTTAACAAGCTTTAAGACATATGTATAGAAATGTATTTCCTAATATTTTTATCTTCTTCTTCTAAGATTTGGGGTAAAATATTTATATGTATCTGTATATATATATATATATATATATATATATATATATATATTTTTTTTTTTTTTACAAGGTATGTTATAAAAATCATAGTTTTTCATTTTAAATCTAAATGACTAAAAACTCTTTAAAAGATTCCAAAATATACTCCATAGCATAACTCAAGCTGATTTCCCTTCACTTACTACGATCTGTTAACATAGAAGCAAAATGAACGATAAACGTCTATAGCCAGAATCACAGCATTCTTGCCAGGGCCGTTAGGATGATCTGCTCAAATGACCTTTGGGAGGAAAAATAAATAGAAATAACCCCACATATTTGCCCACTGATCACAACCATGCAAACAGTATGTATTTATAAGATGATAAGAAGCAAAGAGACTGTAGAAAGATGTGGTGTTGGCATTCCCTGATACTACAACATTCAGAAGGGTTAGGAAACACATTCCATTTTCATGGACACAGTTGAAAGGCTCACGGTGACTTAACATCTCCAGTATTTTAAGTAACCCTTCTTTTTTCTCCATTTTCAAATCAGATTTTGAGATTTGAGCCCTGTTGGTGGTCTGGGAGACCAGCAGCCTACTGCTCAAGGCTCTGGGCTCCCATGTGTGCACCCCTCTAAGAAGTGATCGCTCCCTCATGAGTCAGCAGTTGGAACTGGATTTGCCAGCTCCCACCTCCTGACATTCGCTCTCAGACCACAGCTGTGCCGGGCAGCTGTTGCTCCCTTCAGTTGTCAGAGCAAAATAGAAGGCTTGGAGGCCAGTGATTCTTGGGGCCCCAGCGTAGAGCAAGGGACTGTGCACAGGTGTGTGGGCACAGGTGTGCAGGCATTGGTGGGAAGTAGCAGCTGCAGGTCCATCTATGGAGAACTTGTTACATTTACTGTGGGAAATGGAATCTTCTCGTTCCTGCAAGCTTTTCTTCACCATGGCCATGGTCTAGAAGAACTCTGCACCAGAAGCAACTTGGAGTTTGCAGTGTCATTATTGGTGACCCCTTTACATACCTATATTAATTTACACAGTTTCATCCGAGCTGCAATTCAGATGCACTTTGTCGAGCAATCGGCCGTTTGGCAGGAGCCCAGTAGAGACACTGTTATTTGTCATCCCTTGCAGTTGGTCAGATTTGTAATATTCGTTGGCA